ATTCATCTGAGGCCTCTAAAAACTTGTCTTTTTCACCCAAAGATTCATTTTTCTCACAAAAGTCACTGCATTGTACAAAATACAAATTTTTGTATGCAGGTTAAACAAAGCAAAGGTTGCTGGTTTTCTTTGAAGAACAACCCTTATGAAAGGAAGAAGAGAAGCTTTTTGTAGAAACATAATTGGATATACTCTCCAGCAAACCACAAAAGCAAAAGTTTATTTTTCACTCCAATGGATCCTGATTGTATAATACATTTTTTTAAAGGAATATATATTTCTGGAAAAAAAAATAATAATGACAGGGAATATCCAAACTGGTCAAACTTGAACTGTTAAGTTAGGAGTCAAAGAGAGGTCAGGGATTGGAAATAAGACATTGTGCATTGGCTTTATCACAACTTTGGGGATGGGAGGAGTGAAGAAATTCTGGGATGAAATCTGAATTTAAACATTAAATTATAATTAAGAGTGGCTGTTGACTGAGTTGGGCGGTGACTAAATTTGAAATACAAATAAATAGTTTCCTTCCTTATTTCTATCGAGTGTCTTCTCCTTAGCAGACATGTGATGAACTATATGACCTAGCTAAGATACCCTAGTAACCAGTCCCATCCAGCAGTTTAGAATTGGAGAATATAGAATATCAGAGCTATATAGGTTGCTTTTCTACCTCTATATGACCACCTGGAGGACAGAAGCAATAGCAGATGAAACAGAAATGGAACAGAAATCCTATTTAAATGTATTTCTTTTGTAAAATAAAACCATAATATTTGAAGGGGTGAAGACAATTTGGCCACACAAAGATGAACTGAAAAACTATAAAGGTTTGATCAGTAGGTTTCATTTCAACTATAATTTCCAGCAGAGGTACTTGGAGGAGGTGGGTGGGTGTCAGCAAAGTCAAGATGGTATCTGCTGTAATTTTTTGACCATCCTGTCGATGCCCCAACTTTCAAGATACTTTTCTTATTACAATATGAAAGAATACAGAAAATTGGCAAAAAATAATACAAATTTTATATCATATGTTACCTTTGCACACTGGTCTGTGATCACTCCATGCTGCGAAAACCTCTGCTATTCTTTGGCAGGTAATGCTTTTTGCCCCCTGCAGCACATAGTCTTCATCACAAGAAAACTGCACTGTTGAATCCAAGCTAAAATTGAACATATCAAAAGCAGATTAATACATACTGTATTTCTCAAAGTCTATTTGAATCAATCTAATAATCTTTTACTAAATTTATTCTATCAGTATTCCCTTTAAAGTAAAAGTTAAATCTGCTTTGCCTTAAGAGAAAGGTATGTCTAAAAACAAATGAAGATGTGTGAAATGTATTTCATTTTTTTCCCTCTCTGCGATTACAGCTTTTGCTAATTATATCATATTACATATTTAGATGTGTCTATTCCATCAATCTCTTCCTCTGCTATTGTCTAATTTATCTATAGAGAAGCTCAGAATACCTTCATGTTTGAATCTAGGCGTTTGTTATCCATAAACAATTTTAGGTTATATAAAAAGTGATCCTCATTTTTTTTTTTTAACTGCAAGCACAGATAGGTTTATGATGGTCATTCAGCTATGGCACCCTTTCAATTAAGTGTATACTTAAGTCTCTTATTATTAAGGTCTAGGACTACAGCTTTATTTCATACTGATTTGATGAGGCTGCAAACCAAGTTAGAAATGTGAAGGGCTCACAGAGAGATCTTCCATAAAAATCAGGGTGATTCAGGTGCTGGGTCTTTGCAGACATTTAGAGATACCTCATACAACAGAAACCATGTCAAAGTGCTTTTGAGCAGTTTCCTGGATACTAATTCACATTGGCTTGTTTATTTCCTGAAACTGCATTGATCATTCTTGTGTTTTGCCAGACTGGAATATATATCCAGAATTAACCCTATAGAGTATATCACCCAATTTAAAGACATAAATAAGGCACAGATGTTGCAGTCTTGGACAAAGCCACATAGGAAGAAGTGCTATTTTAAACTAAACTTCCTTCCCGAGTGTGCATGTGCAAAGAATGCCTAAATTAAGTGGTTTGGAAGAAATAGTTATGAATAAAAAAACATGAAATCTGCACATTTACACTGTGACAAATCAATTCATTTGATCACCTTTTCTTTCCAGCTGATCAGGTAGCGGCCTTATGCTTTCAAAAACTGCTTCAATATAGAGCTGTATTTCTTGAAGGAACTACATATACATACATGCTACATAAGGATACTGCTAATAAAAATGCCACTTGATACTCAGTAAATCAATAGATATTTAGATACCTAGATAGATAAAATCTGAAGAACAGCATTCATGATCATGTTCATCTTTGGAGTGAGGTATATCAGATTAATTTTGAAGGTAACACACCAAAATACATATGAAATTTTGGGTTTGTAAATATTACCTAAAGTCTGAGCCTATTCGTTTTCCATTCTCAGGTTCACCAGGATCTGGACACAAATTTGATGCCTGTTTGATACCTCCTTCATTTACTGCAAAATAAAAACAGAATAGATAGCTAGGAATTACCTTTAAATATCGAAGAAAAAGATGTTGGTTATTGTATTGTCGAAGGCTTTCACGGCCAGCATACGATGGCTGGTG